TGTGTGTGTGTGTGTGTGTGTGTGTGTGTGTGTGTGTGTGTGTGTGTTGATTCGGTTTTAAATGACTTATCTTCACATATATTCATTCTCATTCCGTATAAACTACTCTTAATTCCCTTTCTCTCATTTTTTTCCCCAGGGTATTCACGGACCCTATCCATTTGGACAGAGCTAGAATGACAAAGACTCCCCTCCCCCCCTCCATCATCGTGGATGATGAGCTCAACACCCTGGGAGTCCTTAAATGCAGAGGAGTCAGAAGGGGGGGGGAGGAACTGTTGTTTTATATTGACTCATGACAACCTTCTCCCCAACCCCCCGAGGCCCTTTCCACAGAGACACAAACTACAGTGAGGTGATGGATTACATCCGCTACAGCGTAACATCCCACCTGACATCAACACCCGGATTCGCATGTGTGAATGCTTCATTTAAGAGTGCTATAAATCCGTGAGAATAGAAACACGACCATTTTTATTTCCACTGTAAAACACGCCTCAACAATCTACATACAATTTGGGACAATTGGATACTTTGTCTCTTTCGGGGTTCCTACACGGGGGCTGGAAATGTTTGGAAAACTGCTGAGAATAGCACAAAATTAAATGTAATAATTAATCCACGAAAAGACCATTACTGAACCACAGACTAATGCCGCGTTCACTTCATATGGGACGGATGGTGGAGAGAGATTCCCATGTTTACATCTTGTGAGCGTTCACATGTTCGGACAACTTTAAAACGGTTGTATGTTTACAGATTTTGCCGTGTGAGGGTTAAATATATCCAGTAAAATTTGGGTTTAATCACCTTAAAACATCTGACTTTGACCAACGGCGTATTTAAGTGTAGAGAAGTTTCCAGGTGCAATAACAAGGTTGATGTTGATGTGAATGCTATTTGCAAATTGGGAACTGTGAATCTATAAAAGAATACGGAGTCAGGTTTAGCATTACACGCACCTACCTGGTGTTATTTTCTTTATTCAATCCGTTCAACAGCTCAAGCTTAAAAATACTTTGAGAACATGTGACGTACTGTCATGTTTCAAGTATTTTTGTGATGGAGAATAGTTTTATTTATGGCAGAGAGTATTAAAAGTTACCACCTATGTCTGGTTATGTATTACATTTATCATTTAAAAGTTATAAGCAGTGTTCACCTATTACGGTTAAACTGAGCAGTTTTTGACCCTCCTTGAACCCAATGCTTAGCCGGATCAGATAACACATCTGGACCCCAAGAAAAATATATTTACTTTTTACTCTCATAAAGAAAAACAACCAGAATAAACAAAACAATTTTTATTCGACACATTAGACCTTTTTTGACATAAACTCACCGTCTGTAACTTTAAATAATCTATGACACATTTAAAATGATGTCACATTATAATATTAATAACACATATTGAATACCACATTCAAAGATACTCAAATATGGTGAGGGCAAATATTCTCCATTTCTACTATCGCAACAACAATATGGACCATGCCTGTGTAGGAACCCTGTCTCCCCCAAAGATAAAACCCAGAGAACCCAGACACTAATCTGTTCTGTCTGTAGGTTTCTCCATCCAGACAGCATGTGGTGTGTGTGTGTGTGTGTGTGTGTGTGTGTGTGTGTGTGTGTGTGTG